CCCCCGACATTGTTACCAAATACAAGAATTTCTTCACCTAGAGAAGTTTATTTATAAATATATATATATATATATATATTACACACAGAGCGTCTGAAATCACTATACCAACTAATATGGATTAAATCAGTCAGTATTTTGATTTCATCAGTGGTGAAATATGAATATATGCCAGTCTCCTTCCCTTATTCTTAGACGGAAAATTAGCCCAAAAAATGAAGAAACACAATTTTTAGTAGTAATTGAAAGTTACTTTAGGGATCTTGTCTTTGTAACTTCTGCACTAATTAGAAAAAACATATATAACTCTATTCAGGGTCAAGGGGATGATTATAATTTAGGATTCTATATCAAAGAACAGGTAAAAAAAAAAAGATTAAAAAAAGAAGAAAGAATAGCGATCTTCAATAAGGCTCTATGAGGTTCAATCAGTCAAGAGGTCAATTCCTAATGGAGGTGGAATGGACCTAGGTGATTATGAACTTAAGCATAAAGACATGAATTAATTTAACAACCACAAGGACTTATAAAGTTGTACAAGGCCCCTACCATAAAAACAAAGCTTCGGTACTGTTTTTTAATCACTATCTGGCCTTTGTCATGTCACAGGAAAGTAACCTTAAACAAGACCAAAAAAAAACGAAGAAAAAGAAAAAAAAAGAGGGGGGGGGGGGGGGGGGTTGGGGAATATATTGTGGTCGACTTCTTTGACAAGTGAGAACCAAGTAACATCGATTTTCGACTTATGAGAACTATCATGTATGTCGATCGTACTACAGTCATTCTTCAATTACGTTGTTTCGAAATTCATCGGTGTCGACAAGTGTTCTTGATAGAACTTTTTATTATTCTTAATCAAACGTGAAATTTTTATTTTTACTTTTTTTTTTCTTCTGAGAAATAGCTATTCATGTCGGCCACCTCGCTAGTTTGTCAATAGTCCATCATGTGAGAAATACAAAGGAACAGAAATAAAATAAGGCTCGCGTGTAACATGTTCTTGTTCTTGGTTCATCATCGTGAAGATCGACGTGAGAAATTAATATGAGAAGAAGACGAGCAGAATTAAAGTTTTTCTTTTGACTATCAAATACTAGTATTATTAATTAAGTGTGCCTTAGTGCGTGTTGGCTTACATGACTAGGAAATACGAAATACTACTTCGTGTAAGTATATAGTCAAATTCTATTTCAAAATATAGCTGGCTATGTATGTTTCGAGAATCAAACTTCCATAGCTAGATTCTTAAAATAATATACCATCACCACATTCAACTGCACCAATTAGGGGAAACTAGCTACATACCCGACCAATTCAAAATATTTGGTTGTTTTGGATTAACATTTGTGGTCACATGTGAAGGTTAAAAATTAATCTAAGTAGTTCATCTAGTAATTTAAAGTCTACCTAGTACTTACCACATTAGGGTTCATTTCCAGCAATTTTTTTTGTAGAATGACGAATAGGATCGAGGGTTATTGTTGAGTTGTGGTAGTTAACGTGGGCAAGTTGGTTAGCCAACTGTTGGATTAATCAAATTCTAATCTTCTATAATTATGACTAGATTATTACGGAAGATAAATGGACAAGTTCTGAATCGAACGTGTGTCACCTACATTGGTGACAAATGGCCAAAATTACATTGAATATTCAGATCACCTGAATTAAGGACTACTTGTGCAAGTAGCTCTGGAATATCAAAGTATGATATAATGTCTATTCTGCAAGTTGCTGATATGAGATCCAAGTGGTGGTCCTCATTATTTCGGAGGTCATTCATCCACGTACGATTACGATGCATGTTGCCATAAAAGAATTGAGCAAACTCATGAATTGAACTTGGCGTTGCCATTTGATTTTAGTCTCTCTTATCTTGAAAAATCAAGTCCATGATCTTCATTATTTCTGTTAACTATTTAATCGCCTCCTTCAAAAGTCAGTCTTAGTTGGAAGGAAAGATCTTGAAATTATAACATTTTCATAGAATATCCTCACTAAAATTGTGTATTCAATTTGTGTTAAGTTGTATTTATAAGTGTACAATGAAGGGATTAAAACAAAAAAATTTCGCCGAGTATCCTACTAGTAGTAATTTTGTTGTCATTCACCTAATGAAATTGAGTTCTTCTGTCGGTTAATGATACTGATCGGTTGTTATCCAATCTATCTTATAATAAAATCAACTTTAAATTTTATAACTACCTAAAAATCTCTAGATCGATCGAGCACTCAACTGCCTGATGTTTGTCACTTTCAAAATTTCACGTCGAGGAAGCCAATGCTTGTTCAGATGAGCGTGACTTCTGATTTCAATATTGCAAATAAAACAAATATATATATATTTATATATTACTCCCCCTGTCCTATAATTATTGTCCAATTTAAATTTTTATTTCTAGTTCAAATTGTATTAAAAATAAAATCTCAAACTGGACAATGATTTTGAGACAGAGTGAGTATATTTCAACTTGAGCTTGTTAAATTAGACATTGTTGTGCCTGTTTAGTACGCCTTTTCGCCTAACTTGATTTTTTTTTCCTCAATATTTTTGTTGTTTACTTGAAGATCGGATTTCAGTTTTATTTGTTGCTTTCTTACAGCTTAACAAGGCTTAAGGCTTCCCTCAAAACTTTTTCTAAAATAATAATAATAATAATGATGATAAAGAGGCTTTAGGTTCGTTTTCTCATATGGTCAAGTGTCAAAGTACTCATCAAAGATCATTGTTAATTTACAATACTCGTTTCATCAAATTAATTAGTTCTCCACATGTCCTACAAAAATAATCTACGAATTATAAAGTGAATTACTCATAAATCTGTCTCAAAATAATTATTCAATTTAGATATTATTATTAATACAATTTAAACTAAAAATAAAAATTCAATCAACGTAATCATTTCGAAGACAAAAAAAAATTATCATTTTGAGATTTTAAAAAATCAGCAAATGAGTCTCTAATTTTGTAACGAAAGAAGGTATCTACATACGTTGGTAGAAAACTCACACTGAACTATTCCAATTAAAGGCTCACAGAAAAATGTATAATAACATTGATAAAGGTGCAAAATCACAAACATTATTTTGTACTCCCATCACATCACTCAGTAAGTCATTTCATCATTCACTGAATCAAATTTCAGACTCACTAGCTAAAAATGGAGGGAGGTGAAATCTGGGGAGATGTAACAAATCACCACTGAAATTTTTTTTAAAGTGTTTCCTTTCCAAGACTACTGGATAAGATTTACAGTGGAAAATGCAAAAGCAACAGAACAAGTGGCTAATATTTCCTCATAATCTGGTCTTCTACACACATACCTGTAAATCCCTGTAACTCATAGGTGTTGATTGATTGAACAGACAATCTTTACTGACATAACTAACAAGTGGGGAGTAATTTATATATCTATCAGGACAATTCTATCCATCACTAAGTTAATTCATGATTCTGATGTTGCTGCTCCTTATCAGGATGATCTGGTGCAGTTCGTGTCTTCCTAATTTTGCATGTGAGCACAACATCTCCTCACTTCCCATGCAAAACCCGGAAAATTGGCCGTTGAAAATTTGGCTATTCGATTGCTAAATAGCCAGATATTCCATGTAGTATACGAGAACAATAATCTATTTCGCTAATTGAAAATAATTATAAACTTGTATAATACTACCTCCATCCCAAAAGAGTAGTCCACATTGAGTTTTTAAATTTGTACTAAAAGTAGTACAAAACTTAAAACTCAATATGGACTATTTTTGTGAGACGAGGAGAGTATTCTTTGATAAGATCTATCCACTCAAGTTTAGCGAATCGAATTGGAATGTGGTTTTTGTGTTACCTTACTCAAACTATTCTGCATATGGCTTTCGTTTGTGAAGAATGAAAGACACACATAATGCAATTAATTTAGCAATGTGAATTACGTTTCTAGTGGTTAAAAGAAATTTCAATTCGATTTCCTCCTTTTGGTCTTTGCAATGAATTCGGATTGAGTTAGTCAATGCGTGAAAGTGGGGGTCTCGTGAACAAAAAAGAGGTTCTAGTATAGAGCACCAATTGTGCCATTTGGATTGGAGTATTGGACTAGCTGTAAAATTGTAACTTGAATTTTGAAAGAGGCTGATAACAGGGAAATTTGGTGTTTATAGTTGCAAAATATGATTAATCCATTATAGGATGACCTAAACTTTCTATGCCAAAGAAAACATTTCGAACATCTGGAACTTCCTAATTTTGCAAAAAGCAACAACGATATTTTAAATTCAGCGAAAGAATTAGAAAAGTTACACTGACAGCGTTAGTATTAATCATGCCCACAGGAAATGTAATTTTGTTGCGGACTATCTAGTTACACTGGTAGCGTCGAATCCAGGAAGCTTAACTCGACTAGATTCGCCGCCACCAAGAGTCCGTTGGTGGTTATACCATGATGCTATCGGGGTTGCATACTCCCGCCGTGTCGTTGTATAATGTTGTAGCCGAATATATTCTCCTTGTTTATCAAAAAAAAAAAAGTTGGTGTTTAGAAACGACAGTACACAAATTCATGAGCTAGAAGTGATCTGGTTCCAAAGTTTTGGGCTCTCATTTTGTGTGGGGTACAATTTTTTGGTCCAGTCCACCATATGAAGAATTGTCTCTATGCTATACACAGACTTGAGGCCTGTCTCTGTATCTGTAAATGTAATGGACTAAATGTAATGGACTTTGTTATTTCAACCTTTCCCAAACTCAGAAAAGGCCTTATGAGAATTTGTTTGGTCTCTTTTTCTGCCTCAAAACACTGCATTGGTGACTGTCATTACTGTTTTCTAAGATCAAAACCAATACTAAGACTGGTGCATACAATTCAGAATAGGAAAGTTCATAAACTAAACCAAGTTAACCAACAATGGCCCTGTGAATTCCAAAGTGCAAATGCATATTGCAGCAATCAAAGAATTTACAATTATCATATGGCTTCTTGTAAAACAGTACATTGAAATCCTACATTGGTAATGAAGATATCATTCATACCTTCCACAACCACAAGTACTAATGCAGCATCTTTTAAGCTGAACTATTTTCCTATAGTCAAAACTCCTGAACCTACTTCTACAAGATGTTGTCACCCTCAAAAAATTGGAAAACTGGAACCAAAATGGTCCAAATTTGAGGAATTAGAACTATATCCCTAAACACAATTCAGAAGGATGAACAGTTCAAAATTGCTAAGAACTAAAAAGGTACAGAAAGCACTCAAAACAGCAGCTAGCCAAACCTTAGAACCTGTTGAAGCTCCTGGAAAACGAACATCAAGGAATTGCTGCTCACCAACACAGAACAATGTACAAAATTCTCTTCAAAACCTCCACTATTGATAAAAATCCAGAGAGTTTTTTTTTCCCCCTCAAATGATAGGAAACTTGCATTTCTCAAACTCCTTGAGCAGTTTCTGATCATGAAACCCAACTAGAAACCGTGCCAGAGCTTCGAAAAACAGGGCAGCCTGATAAACATTGGTGGCATTCAAGATATCCGCAAGCGCACTTTTCCTGAGCCGATTAGCATCCAAAAACACATTCACCAGCTCTTCCATCTCACCAGTCAGTGCCTCCTCAATGGCTCCCTCCATCTTCTCCTTCCTCCCATCAAACTTCTTCCAATCAAATCCCACCCTCTCCACGAACAGGGCTTGCGCGTTCCTCGCACGTGCCGCCAGAGAAGGCACCATTAGCCTCAACCCACACTCAATGTGATCCACCTTCGCCATCAACGTGTTGGTGGGACTCTTCCAAGCCATCAAAACCTGCCACGGCATCGCGTCAAGAAACCGGCAGATTTCCGGGAAATTCGCGGCCGTCCGGCCGTTATCGGAACTCCCTTCCGACTCTTCGTCTTCGAGGAACGATCTGAGGAGGTTGGTGAAGAGATAAGGGTGCAGATCGCCGAGCCAGAGAAAGGGCCGTTCGAGGGAATTACGCCAATCGGGGTAGAGGAGATGAGAGACCTGATCGATTGAGGCGGCGGCGAGATCGAGCTCTTCGTAATAGGCCTGGAAGTGGTGGTGGATGGCGTCGACGTGGGTGGCGAGGAGGGTTGGGGAGGAGCAGGACACCATGGCACGGCTGAGCTGCGGCAGCAGGGAGTTCTTGAGGGTGTTGAACCATTCCTTGTAGTAGTTCTTGAACGGCTTGATTGCCTTCTTCTTATTCTTCTTCGTAAGCCCAGAAATACCTGTTCTTGTTCAACCATTTCAGCCAATAAATGAGTCAAAAAACAGTGATTATCGATGATTCAACGTGTTTCTTGATGAATAATTAATCCAGGAGACAAATACTAGTAGTAAACGTACCTATGGCTTTCAACATCTTGATGATTCTTGGATGAAAATCTGGAGTAATTGAAATGAGCCCTGAAAAAGCACCGTCCTGTAATCCGTTATCTTCTCAATTCGTTTTCTGTGTGGGTGATAAAATGGGGACTCATGATTTCTCCGGCGAAAAGAACGACGATGGAGCTGGAGATGAAAAAGAACTGAAAATACTTGGTGGGCTTTTGAGGAGCTAGCTAGTTGGTAATTTGGTAATGGTTACATTTCTGTTATTCTTTGAACGGAAAAAGTGGATATGGTTGGGCCAAGATCCAGCCCAAATAAGCATCAGACTGGAGTTAGTATATTTTTAGGCTGAACCAATCGACATGGTCATTTTAAGTGTGCACAGTAATGTCCACTTATTTGTAAAGCATTGACCGACAGGAAAATGACATATATGATATATCCAAATAAAATTGATTAGATAGTGACTCGTGTGGATGTAGCACCCGTGAAATTTTATAAGTGTACCTCAATAAATTTTTGTAATTTATTAGGAGTCATTTGACATTTTTGGTTTTCCATCATCCACTGGCCACTGCCATACGATTTCACTGTTAAGTAATTTGTCATTGCTTTCGCTACCAAAAATGATTGTTGTGATAAAAATACATTTTTTTAAAAAAAAAATTACTTCCTCTCCCGAAATATTTATCCAGTTTAAAATTTTATTTCAAAAAAAATTATATCAAAAATAATATTTTCAACTAGACAATCATTTTGAAAAGAATAAAATATTATAATCGTACAATAAACTGGTACTTTATCATCCGAGAATGAATATTTGCAATAAAGAAGCGTAGAATCATGCAACAAAGAGAACAGTTCTTGTTTCTTATCGAACCAATTTATATGGATCGTTTCAAAAAAAAAAGAAAAAACAGAGAAGGTAAAATCACTCAGTTATTGTTATTACTTCTTCTAAACTAGTGCTTTCCAAATTGTAACGTTGTGATGTACTCATACTAGTACCTACCTGATGAACTTACTCTGGATTGAAGAAGAATTGCTTAGGCCGAGAATATGCATGTCATCATCTCTTTTATCCTATTAAAACAGAAAACATGATGTTGATGTGTCAATTTTTTATAAAAATATTTTGGCTCCAAATGCACCATATTGCATAAACTATTCTGCCACGTGTCACCCCCTTTTAAAAATAAAAAAGATATTTATAATATTAACGAAGAGATCAGATGGCCATGTTCATTCAAATTTTGAATTTGACAGTGAATGGAACTTTCCTTCTCCACTTATTTAGGACTTTTAAAAAAATTAATTTTTGGTCAATCAATTATCTTCATAAAAAACTAAATTCATTCCAAATCAGTTTTGATTATTTACATATCAATTTATTAGGTGGGAGGACGTCCCCGGGCAAATGCCCGGGCAAGCATCTAGTATCTCCATAAAGTAAGTCATGAATGAAGTCAACAAACCAGACAAAATACCACGTTACATTTTTCTCCTAAAGTTACTCGCAGGAATAAAGTGAACGAAAATCAATGATACTGTACCGCGTAATTAGATGCGACCATTTGGTAAAACATTTAAAAACAAAAAAAAAAACCAAAAAAAAAAAAAAAGGAAGAAGAAGAAGGCGCACAGATAATGAGTAGTAGTTTCGATCACTACTACATTACACATGCACCAAACACCCTTTATTGCTGCCACCGAGGCACCGAAGTTAACCTTTAATCAGTCCACATTCCTCCCGTTTTTTTTTTTTTTTTTAACGTAGTACTTCCTCCATTCTAAAATAAGTGTCGTTTTAACAAAATGAAGAAATTCAAAAATAAGTGTCTTTTTCACATTTCAATGCACTTTTTATCAAAAGTTTTTAAAATTACCTTCAAAAGAGTTAATGTTATTGGTAGATAATTTTATAATGGGGTTGGTTGAGGATATTCAAGTAATTTTATTACCCCATTTAAAAGTTTCTTAAACTATGTGCAAAGTGTAGAACGACACTTATTTTGGAATTGAGGGAGTATCACATAGTAGTGTTTACAGTTAGAAAAACTGATGATCATTTTTATTTTTTTTTTACCGATGATCATTTTCTTAAGTTGATGAATAAAATAACTTGCCAAGAAAGTATAAAAACTGTTCCTTTAAGGGTGGGGGCCCTAGCCTCCACTGGTCCCACCCTAATCCATTATTATATATACATTTCTTTTTTGGATAATATATATATATATATGTGTACATATTCAGTTATTATTAATGTAGTTATTATATTTTAAGTTTAATTTGTGAGTTTTTTTTTGGTTGCATTTTGGGCTGTAATTTTTGCACATATTATCTCCTTTTATTCTGTATCGGGCCAATTAAAATTAGTCCAATTCAAAAAGAAATCTTTACAGGTTAGGTCATAAATAATTTTGAAAAAAATTCTAAATTATTTTGAGTTTTGAATAAACTAGTGAAATACATATTAATTTCGTCTAATGGAATCATTTATCACATATTATTATTTACCACTTTCATCATTACCGAAATTTTGTTCATATCCTAATTAAATATTTCTATATTTTTAACAAAATTCTTGGACTTTATTTGGAGCATCTTATAAATAAGAATCATATACATCGAAAAAGTGAAATTTTTGGGTACATAGAATATTTAGAGTATGATATCAAAAAAATTTTGTGAGTACTATTCATATCTATAGTATTATACTAAAAGAGAAACCAAAGATAAAAACCATAAGCTTCTCCCCATGTTATCACGTAGGACAAAATCTTATATATTATTTTTCTAATGGTTAGCTGAAAAATTATTTACAACAATTATATTAATAGTTCTTCAAATCTCCTGTAAATAAAGATTTGGCCAAATTGCATATTTAATCCTAAGTTCAAAAACGGAAAATGGGAATTAACTACTGATTATACTAAACATTAATGCACAGAATTTTATCCCCCCCTCCCCCGCCTAAATGAATAATTCAAAAAAAAAAACCCTCCCCAAAATAATCCCTACTTGATTGATCTACTATTAATAATATTATTCAAGAAAAACTATGGTAAGTAAATAATCCTTCCCAAAATAATTTCCTAAATTATTAATCATTAATGTGTGGTATTTTTTTTATCTGATCATTGTCGAATCCCCTTATTATGCGATACTCTTATTAATTATTGATTAGTAGTCAATTGCACTCCCTTAATCAACATTAATGCGCTGTTTTGGGACTCCCTCAATCAACATTAATTATTGATTAGTAATCCACTGCACTCCCTTTAATCACCGGCTGAGTACCATTGTCATCCAAAAAATTAACCATAAATCCTAATCATCTTCTTTGCACAGTATATAGCTTCCCCTACCCCCTTTAACCGGCCGCACAACATCACAAAAATTCACAGACACTACCTTCATCAACTTCCACCACCCAAATTAAGTCCAAAAAAAAAAAATCGTATACGCACTACGACAAAGTAACAAATTTGAGCTTTATATACTCGCTTCATTTCAAAATGATAGTTCATTTTATATTTTTCTTTTTAGTTCAAAATATATTAAAAGAAGCAATCTAAAATAGACAATACAAGATCCACTACGAATAATGCACATGAGAGAAGAATTACACTTCAGAAACGATCTTGTGTGGATGGAGACTTTAGCAGTCCCTTGAATTTCATCTTTGAAAGGTAAGGCGGGAAAGAAAAGAAAAAAGAAATTGTAACATTATTTACGGTAATGGTGCGTTGAAAGTCAAAAATTATTTCATTTTTTATTTGTTATAGCACAGTGAAACGGAGTTTGATAAAAGAGAAGCCAGAAAAAATAAAGAAAAGAAATGGTCAAGCCTATTGTGAAGAATAAAGAAAAAGATTTTCGAGAGGACATTGATAATGGTACTCATGAGAATTAAATGATCTTCTAAATAAGAAGTGATTATTCACTGTTGATGTTAATGATGATTCCGAAACTATCCATGACCTCTGAAAAGTGAAGCATGCAGTTATCTTCAAGTTGCAGATTAAGTTTGTGTTGCACAATTTTCTTTCTTAATAATTGGGGAACTCGATTTCGACCCATTTTTGGTTTGGAAAAAAATATGCAATAATAAAAACAGTAAAGAAGCTTATAAAAGGACCTTCTGTAAGATACCTTTTTTTCCCTTTTAACGGTCTATTTTTCCCAAAACATAATTTAGGAGTTCATATCTAATTTGTTCACACTTTACTGTTTTAATCCTTCTACATATGGTACAATGATGTTTCATGGTTTTAATTGATTCAACGTCCAAATTTCAATGAAATACTTGAAGAAAATGTCACCAAGATGATATTGTCTGGGATAATCATGTAACATTAATTTTTTTTTTAAGGAAAAACATATAAAAAAATTGAAGGTGAAGGGAAAGACACCTTCGCCTTGAAAACATGGTGTGCACGGGTGGCAAAAAAACCCATTTTACAAAATTGAAGACCAACAGTGTTTGGCAAATGAGTGCAGTATAATTAGTTGATATTGAAAGTTGAAACACAAGGGAAAAAATATAGATTATAATTATTTGAACCCAAATTTGTAAATCAAAGTTTGTTAGTTTTTCCTTCATTTTTTTTTTATTTTATCTTTGTTAAATCTTCCCTTAAACTGTTCGTGTGCATGATTAAGTTCAAAAGATTTATATTCTTTTAATAATATTATACATAATCAATTTTGAAAATCTTAAATATAAAAATTATTATAGAACAGTCAATTTTTTTTTAAAAAAAAATGAATGTTGTTCTAAAGGGAAAAGGAAAAGGGAAAAAAACACTCGCATGTCTCCCATCACAAGTTAAAAAAATGGAAAGAAAATTTCATTAAAAAAATAAATAAAGGGGAAAGTAAATAAATTTTCACGCCATACAGATAATCCTTTTAAAATAATGATCTAAGCTCCGCAACTCCTCACAATTAATAACCATCGGCAATAATATTTGTTTATCTTATCACTAAACTGAAGCAAGAATTTTGGAAAAATTCCACTTTATAATAAAACATAACTAGGTTATGGACCCGTACTGTCGCACGGGTATGGCATTGACAAAAGATAATCATAAACTATTACTATTTTATAATATTACTATTTATTTGTTTATATATCAATTAGTGAT